CAGGCTTGGGTATAGAAGGGAGACAAGGGAGAGAGAAATGTCAAGAATGACCCCTGTGTGGGATTAGGTGATAAATCAATGGGAGAGAAAAGTGTGGAAGAGGATTTTGTGTGGGAGGAAGAGAAAAGTATCTTTTTGGCATGTCGGTTTTGAGATGGCTTTCAAATACTCAAAAAAGATTTTTTGAGTAGGTGAGTTATGGAGGGACTATCTGGGTTGAGGACACACAGTTGTGAGTCATCATGTGTAGGTGGGAAGTAAAGGTATGAAACTAGATAAGATTTCCAGAAAGAGCACTATCTATGGAACTGAGAGAAACTTGAGCACTGACACACTGAGTGGAGCTAGTTAAATCTGCAAAGGACATGGGGGAAGAGTGGCCAGGGCTGCATCCAAGCAGGAGCAATAAAGGAAAAGTGATAAAGACCACATGATAGAGAACACGCACACAGGTGTGTGCTTTCCTCTCTTGTGAGCAACACTGATAGTTTCTTGCTTTTATACTGTTCCATGTTGGTCTTGTCCCTTCTTGGAGATTCTTCTCATAAACAGAGAATTCTTATTTAACGAACAGTTGCTCAGGGTTTGGACCATAGAATATGTATTCACTTTTTAATTAACATTGAAAATATGTTTGCAGCAGCAAAATGATAGAAAGAAAAATTCTAGAGCTTCACTTTGCCTTGCGTTTGTTTGTTGTTGTTGTTAGCAGACCTTTTATAATTTAAGGTAGACAATAGTTTCTGGATGGCTGTGCTCTAGAAGATTCCCCACCTCCTTACTCAAATCCCTATTCTTCTAGAAACTTCATCGGAAATTATTTTTAACTTCTCGTTAACCACAAGTTCTAGTTACAGTAGCACAATTTTTTAAAAATAACGAAGTTAAATGATATAAAGTCTCCTCATATTAAAATTTTATAATTATGTTTTTTTTTCAGGCATCTGAGAAATCAAACTAGAGCACAGAGGAGTTTTGTTTTCTCTTAAAAAGCCCTTCCCATTTCATGCAGTAATAGCCATGGCCTAATTGACCTCTGTGGGCCATTTGCTTTTTTCCAAAGCTTTGGGATTTCTGAGGCTGAAGTCAACATTTTTATATAATATTCATTTAATAATATCTTGTAGAGCATACTGCCATGGTTAATTTCATGTATCAACTTGACTGAGCTAAGAGATGGCCAGAAAGCTTGTTAAAGCATTATTTCTCTGTGTGTGTGTGTGTGTGTGTGTGTGTGTGTGTGTGTGTGTGTATGCATGTGCAGATATGGATTTCCAGAAGAGATTAGCATTCATGTGTGGATATTAAGGAAGGATCACCCTCACCATGGTGCACAGGCATCATTAAAGCCCTGAACAGAACACAACAGCAGAGGAAGTTTGTATTCAGCCTTCCTGTCCTTCAACATTGGTGCTCCTGGTTCTTAGGCCTTTGGATTCAGATCAGGACTTAAACCATTGGCTCCCCTGGCTCTCAAGCCTTTAGGTTTCATATGAAATGACACTACCTTTCTAGGTTTTGGCTGACAGACAGGAGACTGTGAGACCTCTCATTCTCTGCAATCAAGTTGGCAATTCCTCACAATAAATATCTATGTATCTATATGTACCCTCTTGGTTCTGTTTCTCTGGAGAAACCTGACTAATGCAGGCACAAAGTACTTGGCTGCAGAGATAACTTAGAATCTCAGTTCATTAATCTACCCGTTGGGCTTGCATGCATTTTAAGAATTTACAGGGATACTAAGAAAAAAAAACTACTTCTATAAAGAATAAAATACGTTAATGTCAAAATCATTGTCCTAAGTGAAAGAAGCCAATTTATCTATAGTAACAGAAAGCCATCACATGGTTGCTTGGAGCTGAGATTTGGGGGTTACGGATAGGCCTGGGCTAGATTACCAAGGGGCACAAGGAAACTTGTAGGGGATAATGCAGATGTTCATTATCCTGATTCCAGTTTTGTTTTCAAATAAAAATTTAATCCAATTGAATTTTAAATACTTAAAGGTTTATTTTATTTTAATAATACTTCAATGATTTTTTAAAAAAATAGTATAACCCAGGAAGGAAACAATATCAAAGTTCCTTCCAACTCTCATATTCAGTGACTCTATTTTAGAGATGAGGGGACTGAAGGTAAAGTACACTTTTTAAGTTATTTTCAATGCAGAATAAATTGGACAAAATTATGGTCTGTGCATGTATAAAAATACCACAGTGAATTCCACCTTTATATAAATCTATTAAAGCACTAATCAAAAATAAATGATCTCTAATTTTATTCCATTGTGATCTGATAGAATGCAGGGTATTATTTCTGGTTTTTTTTTTTTTTGTATTTACTAAGAGTTGCTTTGTGGCATAAGATATGGTCTATTTTAGAAAAGGAGCCATGTGCTGCTAAGAAGAAAGTATATTTGCTCATTGATGGATGAAATATTCTATATATGTGTGTTAAGTCCAAATTATTGATTGTATTATTTAGTTCTAGAGTTTCCTTATTTAGTTTTTGTTTGGAAGATATGTCCGGTAGTGACAGAGGTGTGTTAAAAGTCACCCAGTATTATGGTATTGTGGTCTATTTGACTTTTGAAATTGAAAAGGGTTTGTTTGATGTACATAGATGTTCCATTGTTTGGGGCATAAATATTTATAATTGTTATATCCTGCTTACATATACTTCCCTTCCCTTAAGAAGTATGAAATGTCCTCCTTTGTCTCTTCTGCTTAACTTTGGTTTGAAGTCTACTTTATCTGAAATGAGAATGGAAACCCCTGCTTGTTTACACAATCCATATGAGTGATAAGTTTTTTCCCATCCTTTCACCTTCAGCCTGTGGATGTCTTTGCCCATGAGGTGAGTCTCAATGTTATTATTGAGATATGATTTGTATTCCCTGTTATTTTTATCTATTTCTGTGTTTTGATTTGTCTTAGTTTCTCATTTGATTGAATGTCACTTTAGTGTAGATTCTCCTTTTGATGGTGTTCGCTTTTTTTTTTTCACTTCATCTTCATGGAATATTTTGTTAAGAATGCTCTGTAGTGTAAGTTTTCTAGTTGTGAATTCTAATTTTTGTGTATCATGAAATGTTTTAATTTAACCTTCAAATCTGAAACAATTTTTCTGGATATAAAATTCTTGGTTGGCATTTGTTTTCTTTCAGAGCTTGAAATATATCATTCCAGGACCTCCTAGCTTTGAGGGTCTGAACTGAGAAATCAGTTGAGATCCCAGTTGTTTACCCCTTATACTTAATTTGATTTTTTTTTCTCTTGTGGCCTTTAAGATTTTATCTTTATTCTCTGTGTTGGTTATTCTCATTATAATGTGCCTTGGTGTGGGTTTTCTGTAATTTTGTACATTTGGGGGTCCTGTAAGCCTCTTGTATTTTTCATTCCATCCTTTAGGTTTGGGAAATTTTCTACTATTACATCATTGAAAAGATTGTGCATTCCTTTGGTTTGTATCCCTGTTCTTTCATATATCCCTATAACTCTTAAATTTGGTCTTTTCATGTTATCACATAATTCTTGGATGTTCTGTTTATGGTTTATTACCATCTTATCCACATGTTCAACTCTACTTTCAAGGTTATATATTTTGTCTTCATTGTCTTCCAAGTTGGAGAATATCATGCTAAGTGAAATAAGCCAATACCATAAAACCAAAGGCTGAATATTTTCTCTGATATGCAGATAGATTCTTATTCACAATAAGGTGGGGGGCACTAGGGAAGAATAGCATTACCTCAGATTAGGTAGAGGGAAGTGAGAGGAGGAAAGGAGGGCATGTGGGAATAGGAAAGATAGTAGAATGAAACAGACATTATTACTATATGTATATATGTGGCTGCATGACCAATATGATTCTGCAACATGTACACTCAGAAAAATGAGAAATTATATCCCATCTATGTATGATATATCAAAGTGCATAAATGCATTCTACTGTCATGTATAACTAATTAAAACAAATAAAAAAATTTTGAAAAGCATGAAAAGTAAGACTAGTAGGGGAAGAAGAAGAAAGGGAGGAAGAAGGAGAGGAAAATGCGATCACCAGCAACCAGAATGGAGTAAATTAAATTCCATGCATGTATGGTTTTTGTCAAAATGCAGCCAAATAATATGTATAACTACAGTGCACTGAAAAAAAAAAGAAAAAACATGAAAGTTATTCCCATATCTGCTTTTAGCATTAAAAGCAGTTGGTAATGGTAACTGGTTGCAAATTCCAAGCAACTTATTTTATAATGGAGGGTCTCTTCCTCCTCAGAGCCTTATCTGGTGAGAAAGGAATCTCTGAAATAGTAATATGCATGCTGGTTGAAGAAGTGTATATGATGTGAACACAATTATTGAAAAATCAAACACTTGACATTCAATTGTTCTTTAAACAAACCTCATCATCATACAGTTGTGTAAATCCTGTCCACATGTATAAAAATAAAATTTTAAAGAAAATACCATTTCAGTAATCAGAAAGTATTTATCGAACGTGATTTTATTTGAAGGTAAGCCTTTATTATTAGCATCTTGTATTTTTATATCCCTGGTTTGGGCTGCTTTTTAATGTTTTTTTAATTCAATAGTGATCAAGTGTATGTAAATTATCATGAACTTTATATTAATAAGCATGACTTACAAAGCTTCATTCTTGTCCTGCTCTATTTGAAATATTGAAGTCCTATATTCTGACTTTACTTTTTCTAGAATGCATTTATAAGTTTTGTATTTCAAGTATGTGGTCACAGATGGGTCAAAATTTTAATAAACCATGGTTAATGCTATTTTTGATAAATGCTACTGCTTTCTTAAGTAAAATATTTTTTAGTATAAAGAATGAGAATAATAGTTTAAAACTAGAATAAAATGATACTTTTAGTTCTATAATTTGAACAATTTGTTTTCTTGACTATACAGAATACACAGACATTGTTTTTATTTATCATTCAGAATTCTTTTACTTAGCAAAACATTATCATTCTGGTAAAAAATAATGTCTGTATGACTGACTTCTTTTTTCACAAAAAGCAGTTGATTAATCTTGTTCACTTGTTTGTCTCTGGGACCTTTAATCTTGGTATCACATGGCCTTGAAGTGAATATAATAAAATGGGCCAGAATTGCATCCTAAAGTACATCTTGGAGTCTTCTGAAGGAGAGAGCAAGGTAAAGTGACAGAAACCAAAACAGCATAAAAGTTGAGGACTCAATATGTATAAATTTCCTCAATAGGAAAGAATTAAGCTCCATTGTAGAGTTGTGAATGACATTAACCATTTGAAAAGCTTGTAGTCAGTTGGCCTAAAGGGTTTTTGTTTCGATTTTCTATTATTCTCGTAACTAAATTCCACATCCTTAGTGGCTTAAGTCATAAAACTGTATCGTCTTGGACTTGTGGAGGTCAAGTCTGACGTGGGTATCACTGGGCTAACCCTGAGGAGGCAGTAGGCTGTGCTCCTTTTGGAGGCTCCAGGACAGGACCAGTTTACTAACCTTGGTTTGCTTCTAGGGGCTGCCCTCTCTTCCTTGGTTCCTGGCTTCCTCCATTTTCAAAGACAACACCTTGTGTGTCTGATTTTTGACTCCTAAACAGAAAGGTTCTTGTAAGAACTTGTGTGATTAGCTTGGGCCCACCTCCACAGTCCAGGATAATGTTCCTGTCTCAAGGTCCTTAACTTTGATCACATTGCAAAGGGAACTTTGTAATATAAGATAACAGATTCCCAGGTTCCAAGGATTAGGAGGACATGGACATCTTTGGGAGGTCATTATTTTGCCTTCCATGTGAATAAAATACTAGAACCATTGAGGAATGAGAGGAGGAGAGAGATTGAATTACTGGGAATACTTTTGAGAGTGTCTGTTAGTATGATTTTCAATAAGAACATCAAGAAATGGAAAAGAATTACCAATAGCAAAGAATGTAGGTATTAGGATTACACTTCTTAGTTTCCAGTTGCCCCACTTTGCACACAGAGAAACTCTTTGTTCATTCAGTATTTAAATAAACTAATTACACTAATGGGCCTATTCTGTCATCTGTTTCTCAATCTGGGTAGCAGATGTAACTCCATCATTTAGGGACTTGAAGTTCTGCAGTAAACATGTACATAAATTGGCTGAAATTTATTAAGATAAAAAGGACCGTTTCTAAGCCTAAAATTTCTTGTCTAGAGGATCCATGGGAGAATAACAATAACTAACTACCAAATATACTACAAATCAAATTTTGTCTTCAGAAAACTGTTTCACTTACATAGATGAAACTGATATACACACATCAAAAGAAAGGCAAGATTTTGTTCTAGTTTTTAAATTAGCACAATAATATATTCCACTTATTAGAAAAAAAATTGGTAAGAAAAAAGGCAGCTTACACTTTTAAAATCTTTTTGAAACATTGTAGGATCATGCCCTCTTTGTTTTAGTAAATTAAATGCCTTTCATTTATTGAAGAATCCTTTTAAACTGCATTTTTTCCTTACTAAAATTGATCTTAATAAATGAGCTAGATGAAATTAATATTTATGTCCACCTAATAGAAAACTACAAGTGTCACTGGATTTGATGGTGTTGAAGTTACCTGTAGTTTGGAATTCAGAACACAGCTGTAAAATCAGTCACAGTTGAGTAAAGTAGAAATCCAAGAAGGTCAGGAAGACAATTTAACATGTCATGGTAAATTCTTCATCTTCAAAGGCATAGAAAGTTTTCAAAATGCCTCTTCCCACTACTATTCTCTGCAAAAACAATCTATGGCTTTATACAAAATGAATATATGCATTATGCAGTAGAATTATTTACTCCTAAAAGTTAATTCATACAGGAACATAAATTACTGCCATATTGACTTATACAATTCTTGGACCCCCTTGATCTCACACTTTCTTGACTCTAGGCTGAAAAGAAGGATTGAAGGAATTTGGAGGCAGGGAAGGGAATTAATGCTTATTAAAAAAAAAGATACACAGATTTCTCTTTACAAGCATCTCCACAACTTCTTTGAGGTAGTTATTATCTAAGGGAGAGAACTGAGGCTTAATGATGGCCAGTAATTTTGTGCAAGGTCAAGCACACCCTTAGCAGGTTTGAACTCTCCTAGGCTGGACTCCTAAGCTTTATATTTTCTCATCACCTCTATACTGACTATCTGAACTTTGAGGCACATTATTTTTTCTTTGCTTCTTTTTCTCAAACAGATCTCAGTGCCAGCCACAAAGAAAAGGCAAGCCAATTTCCTCAAAATCTCTCACATTGACAGATTTATAGGATCCCCTAACATAGCCCAGGGCCCACAAATCAAATGCCTTCAAGTTGCTGAGCCTTTCTTGCTGTCCTAGTTATGTGATTCATTGAGTCCTCTAACTTGTGGCCTCCCTCCTGAGTTACCAACCTCCTCTGGGAACACATGGAATGTGGCACATGCCATGCTCTCTGCCTGGAAGTGGAACATGGTTGCACTTCAGCTCAAATTGTCCCTCTCCTGCCCAGGGTGTGAGTTGTCCCTGCAGATCATGACATTCCTTTCCATTACTCCAGTCCTCACATTCCTTAGGGGTTAATGTGGTTGGGGTGGGGAGCAAAAAATATTTCCCTGATTTTTTAAAAGAACTTTGAAACTGAATCTAGAGAGCAGAAGAAATTATCACACAGGCCACTGAAAGAGAACCGCTGTCTTAAGGAATGAGGAAGGTAGTAATATGTGGAGAATGCTTCAGAAAAATGATAAGTACAGATATATTATTCTTTATCAAATAAAAGTTTTATATATGTCATTCTTTGGATATGAAGTGTCCCCCAAATCTCATATGTGAGATAACGCAAGAATTTTCAGAGTGAAACAATTGGGTTATCAGAGCCTTAACTCAATAAGTGAATTAATCCCCTTATGTGGTTTAACTTGGTGCTAACTGTAGGCAGGTAGTGTATGGCTGAAGGAGGTAGGTTACTGGGAGCAGGTCTTTGGGATTTATATTTTGTCCTTGATGAGAGCTCTCTCTGCTTCCTGGTGGCCACATCCTGAGCTGCTTTTCTCTATACCTTTCTTCCCTGATGTGCTGCTTTACCTCAGACACAGAGCAATAGAGTCTGTTGTCTATGGATGGAGACTCTAACCCTGTAAGCCAAACAAACTTTTCTTCCCATAATTGTTCTTGTCACATCTTTTAGTCACAGCAATGAACAAGCTGACTTAATGATTTAATTGTGTACCTGGTTTATTTACCACAGTTATGTGAACTATCTTTGAGGCCAATATAATACTATTTCAAGAAACCCCGTCAAGGGATATTTTAAATGTAGGCTGACATTAGTGTGAAAAGATATTCACACTGTAATGGCCAGCACAGGAAAATGGTTTAAAAAAAAAAAAAAACTACTGAATCCTGGTGTGACACATTCAGCCTACAACAAGTGGTGTTTCTAAAGAATTTAATAGGCAAAAAGTTACAATAATTTAAAAATAAGATCAAAATTAGGATATGATATTTTGTAATTATGAAAATTAATAAAAATTCTAAACAAAAGTACTAAAACATTGTTTGCCTGGGGAGTTCTGGCTTCTTGCTGACTTCTCCCCCTGTGTTATTATATTCTCCTAGTATTTACAACCAGAAAAAACCAAAGGGTTGGGGAGGAATAGAAGAGTTTGAGTATTTTCAAGTTACCAATGAGAAATAAATACCCTTCTGGCCAAGTGGTATTTATTGTTGCAAGTTAATTCTGTGATCTTCCTGTTTATATTAAAGCCAGTGAGAACCAGGTAACGAATATAAACCTGCACAATGTTATCTCAGCAAAAGGAAAAAGCAATTAGAAGAGTTATGTAACAAAATTTCAACTAATAAGTCAAGATGAGGGATATCAGGAGTCCTATGAGGCACAAATTTTAAACATTAAAATATGATTTATCTGTGGACACACACACACACACACACACACACATATACACACACACACATCAACTAATCTTGAAATGAATTGTAAATATCATCTTAATGTATTATTGTGTTTTTCCTTGTAATTATTTTTTTAGTATAAAATTACTTCTAAGAAAAACCAAATAAGTTATTCCTTTAAAATAAAATTACCTCTCTCCTAAAAAAATACAGAAATTTAGGAACCAACTATAAAATATTTTCAAGTATATTAAATATTTGATTGACATATCAACATCATTAAGCATTATGTAAATTTATAGGTATTACTTTAAAAATGTTTAGCATTGTGTTTCTTTTTAATGGATTTTTCATGGGCAATTTTTGATTCAGAGCAAAATTGAGAAGGAGGTACAGAGAGTTCCTATTGTCCTTTATGCTCTGCTCCAACCACATACAGCCTCCCCAGCTATCAATATACCATACCAAAGTGGTACATTGATTACAATTTAATGAACTTTCATTGATAAATTATCATACAAAGTCCATGGTTTACAATAGGATTCAGTTTCTGGAGTTACACATTCTGTGGGTTTTGCCAAATGTATAATAACATGAACCTACTATCACAGTACCATGCAGAATAATTTCACTTCCCTAAAAGTCCTCTGTGCTGTGTCTTTTCATCTCCCCCTCCAACCCTTAGCAACCACTGTTCTTTTTACTGTCTCCATAGTTTTTCAGAATGTCATATATTTGGAATTATATAGTACTTAGTATTTTCAGATGAGCTACTCTTACTACTGGGTTTAAGATTCCTCCCTGTCTGTCCATGGCTTGAGAGCTCACTTTTTTTTAGTAGCGAATAACTTGCCATTGTCAGAATGTACTGCAGTTTATTTATTCATTCACCTACTACAGGACATCTTGGTTGCTTCTCTCTCTCTTTTAAAAGAGAGAGAGAGAGAGAGAGAGAGAGAGAGAGAGAGAGAGAGAGA